TATATATATAAATGTATGTATGTATGTGTGTGTGTATATGTATATATATGTATATGTATATATATATATATATATGTATGTATATATATCTATATTATATATGTATGTGTGTGTGTTTGTGTGTGTGTTGTGTGTATGTATATGTGTATATTTATATTTTTATGTATATATATATATATATATGTACATATATATATATACTATTCAATACATATGCATGCAAACCCATACTCGTATTCTATACCCCCTGTGTGGCACTGTTCTTATCTCGCATTCAATACATGCTAACCTTCCACTATCATATCCAAATATTTATATTACTACAGCGAGTACATATGAGCACTTCAACCAGAACGCTATTTACACTGAGGGTTTCTACAAGAATGCCCTGAGTATCTTCGAGCACCCCGACAGCGTGGAAGATCTGTTCGATAATGAGGTAAGTCGCATGTAATATAATATAATATAATAATGTATTATATTATGATAGTTTATTGTATCATGATAATGTATTATATTATGATATTGTACTACACTTTTGATAATATAATATATCATGATAATGTATTATACTTATGATAATCTAATATAATATAATAATGTTTTATTTTATAGTAGTTTATTGTATTATGATAATCTATTATATTGTGATATTGTACTACACTTATATTAGTGTATTATATTAAGTCAATGCATTATATATGATAATATATTATACTATGATAGTAAATTATAGTATGATAATGTATTATATTTTGATAATACATTCTAATACAATACTGAAGTATTTTAGTTCATAATAATGTACATGTATAAATAGGATAATAGGATACAGGCTATGGTGCTGCAGATAGCTTCCATCCATTACTATATACACTATTAGCTCCCTGCGACTATCTAATTTTCTTCCGACCCGAAAAACACAACCGAAATTTCGTCGTCGTTCAATAGGCCGTTGACTGATACTATTCGCATGTTTGGATATTTGCGCTCAACTGTTGACTAGCCCACATCGCCCTAAAACCCTACATCCTAAACCCTGCAGGACCATTCAATGCAGTACCTGAGCTGCCTGAAGGACTTTGCTGGCTTCATGCGCTCCAGAGGTCGTATTGGAGACGCCGAGGAAGCTGAACGCAAGCACAAGTACGTGTCTATATATTGTCTAAGTATATTATATATATATATATATATATGTATATTTTATATATAATGTCTATATATATTATATACATATATATATATATATATGTATTATATATATATATATGTATATGTATGTATGTATGTACATTTAATATACAAGTGTGTGAGAGTGTGTGTATTTATTGATATGTATATATACATGCATACGTATCGTTTTGTGTGTATGTGTGGCGTATACCTGCTGTAGAGGTACTGCATGGGGTTGTACTGTGGTTGCGATTACACACAACCAGTGCACTGTATACGTTTTCATCTGCATAACCACTATGCACTATGTGTTTGTTTAGTAGAGTATATTATCTTGTATTCTAAATCACACCCCTTTGTCTGCTAAAGAGATCGGGAGTTTGTAGGTATGGATAGGGTTTAGGGTTTTATTTCCATCCTTCTCATCAGAAAGTCAGCTTTGCTGCAATTGAACGGAGTATATATATATATATATATATATATATTCGTTCATATGTTCGTTCATATATCTTAACCTGATATTGAATGTCTGCTGAAATGCTCATATATCTGACCCAAAATGTTGCATATATGTGAAATTGACGTATACCTACACCTATACGTAATGTCTGTATATGTGGGCCTAGTATCTCGCATATCTGCATCTGCATGTTCCTGTGCTTGCACTTGCTCACTTCCAATGTCTGTGTATTCGTACTATTGATATGTAGTGTTGCCTACTTTTCTACCATTGTATTAGTGGATGTAGTCCTAGATGTCGGTGCATTCAGTGTTTCTATACACTGTTCACGGGTATCTCGATGTACCAGCATACATACACTCTCGCGCATTCGAGAAGTATGTTTGCGTAGGCAACCCCTAAACTCTAAAACATCATCCAACATACTTTCTGACCGATACGCAAGTTTTTATTCTCTCAAATTTACTCAAATGTGTCCCATAAATGTGTACGTATTCGCTTTCCGTATTGTATAGCAATTATATGGTTCTCAAACAACAGTTACACGCCCATATGTACTTTTAGACGGACCTATTCATATATGTACACACATATGCGCATGTATCCTCCTACATGAACTCTTACAATCGAACAACTACAGGCTCATATATCCTTTAGACGTACACATTCGTATATGTACATACATATAACATGATCTTCCCTATCGTTTGCATGAAGTTTTGCAAACCAACAGTCGCTCGCTCTAATCTATACCTATACTTATACATACACTCATACATTCCCGTATCACCAACCCGCAGGAAACACAACGAGATGTACCGGGAGCATGTGCGATCGCGCAATCTCCGCGAACAAGCCGAGAAACTGCAGCAGCAGCAAGATATTGAGGCAGCCAAGAAGCACGCGGATAAGATCCGTGCCATGCACGACGCCAAGGATGAGATACTCGCGGACAAACAGACACAGGGCAAGTGAGGTGGCCACGTGTGGAGACACGGGACAGGTCCGTGGGGTGTGCATTGTGAGAGGGGGGGGTAGATCAATACGTCGAGTAGTATATACATATATATATATATGTGTATATATATATATATATATATCCCCCGGATGGATGGCGATCGGAGATGCCAGTACATCCCTGAGGTTAGAACGCGGCCATGTACGTTGTTTCATATGGTAGCGATGGGTCTATTTGAGCATCAATCAATTTCAGTGGGAGTTTATGTTCAAATGGCTAGGGTTTTAGTTCTCAAGGGTAAAGTGCTGTTGGATTAGCAGGCAGGCATTGGGCTTTCAGGAGGTATATATTTATACGTTGCACTGAGTTTTCTCGTGAGTATATACCAGAAGTTCTATATGTTCCTCTCAGTCCGGGCCTTGTATCGGATCCTTGTACTGCGATACCCCAGGACTCGTACTTATAGTAAAAGTACTATAACAGTACTACCAGTCACTTGCGTGATGAACAGAGGGGTGAGTGATGTGTAATCATCCTCGGTGCGGTCATCGCGACACCTTCAGCTGGTAGTATGTTACTAGCCTCGGCAGGTAGTTAGCTTCGGAATCATACCATTGCTCGGTGAGCCTATACAATCTGTCGGTCGAATTGGGCGGTGAACTTTTTAACTCCCACGACCATCGGACCGAATGAGTGTGTAGTATCCGCTTAGCATTGGATGGGGACAGTTGTAAAATGGGACGGGAGATGGGTGCTATCTACACGTGCGATTGACAGCTGTTTTGTCGTTTTTGTGATTGCGCCAGTATGCGCATCTTCATTTCAAATAAAATACATATCATCATATCACTATACAGCAAATAAACGCGTCTCGCCGTGATTAATTATGCTGCAGTGACTCAAATGGGTACGAAGGTATCCTGTGAAATTTTATTAACGTCATGTCATAGCCACACTATCATAACGTTTGAGTTGCAGAAAAGTTCAAACCCCTAAACCCTAAAACCGTGGCAACCAGGTGTGGCACGTATGCGGACTAAGTGCTCGTGCTTGCGGTTTTCTCATTCTCTTCCATCTAGATATTTCTAATATACTTCTGGTGCCTTCGTATTTCAAAAAAACACACTATTGCGTTCTATAAACTTCAGACCGAGAGTGTATATTCTCTTTTTTCGTAGCAGAGGGACCTGTTATTGCTCGGTGATAAAGGAAAATGCGATTCGTGAAGCATCGTTCGAGAGTTCGAATGACTTTCGACATCAATCCCATACAATCCCCCTTCTACTTAGTATATATCTTTGACTGGTCTCAAACTCATCC